GCCGGTGCCTCTGCCTCCAGGAGCTGTGCTGGTGAGCGGCGTGTACGACCTCGAGCCCATCCTGCACACCTATGTGAACGATGCGCTGAACATGAGCTGGTGAGCCCGCACGCTGTGAGGACAGCAACTGGGAAAGGGCACAGGCAGCCTGCGCACACGAGTGGCTTTGGCCAGTGCAGCCTGCAGGCGAATGCCAGCAGCTCTGCAGCCTGCTCTGCCCCTGCCCGCACAGCCTGCCTGCGCTGCGGGGCACTGCCTGCCTCTGCGCCTGACCTGGGCACAGGCCCTGCGCCCTCCGCCTGGCTGGTGCACACAGCTGAGGACAGGGGTGCTCTGCAGGCAAAGATGCCCTCTCCGAGCGAGGGGCTGTGTCAGCTACCGCTGCCGTGTCTCCTCCAGGGGGGTCGCCCAGAGGTCGTGGCGTGCCCCCAGCAGCACCTGCAGCTGCGGCCTGTGAGGTCCTCGTGGCTGTGGCCCAGCATGACTCCCCGGAGTTTCGCAGGCAGTCACAGGAGTACAGCCAGGTGAGCTCCAGGCAGCGTCCTGCCTGGCTCCATGGGGACGCTGCTCCAGCTGGCCCACTTGGACCTCCTGAGCTGGGATGAAGGGCTTGTGTGCCATATCAGAGCAGTATTTCTGCTGCTGTGGCGATGGCTGCTGTCAAAGATGACAGCGGATCAGGGGAGGACACTAGTCCTTGCCAAGCCATCATTCCTGCCACCCTGTCCGGGTCAGATCGGGGTCAGGGAACCTCCTGCCAGCGCCATTCTCTCCACAGGCCCTGCGCGCAGCTGGCTGGTCCGTCTCCCTGTTGGATCTCGCTGGTGTGGATCACTTTGACATCATTGAGAAGCTGTCGGAGGACACCTATGTCCTCACTCAGGTAGGGGAAGAGCTCCCGTCCTCCCTTCGTTCTCTAAGCACAGATAAGATCAGCAGCCCAGGACGGCTGTGCTGAGGCGAGCTGCCCCTGCGCACTGGGGGAGGTGCAGGGCTGCGGCTTCGGGGCTGGCTGTCATCTCCAGGAGTGGAGGAGTGGGGCCCCGCACCACTCACAGGGCTCAGTTCCTCATCCCAGGTGATTCTGAACATGATTTCAAGAGCTTGATGGCATGTCGGGAGCAAACTGAGATGGGAACCGCAGCCCTGTGTGGCAGTGACATGCAGCCTGCGTGCACCTTTCCCTCTTCGCTCCAGCCGGCTGGGTCTGCTCCTGCAGCACAGGGCAGCTGCTGCCATCGGACACCCTCTGTGAACCCTCCGCCCTGTCCAGCTCGCAGCCAGGCGTGGGGGCTCTGACCAGGGGAGCACCAGTTATCACCGATTCTCACCTGGGCTAGGGTTCCTTTGCTGGGACGTTTCTGCCCATCTGGAGCACACAGGGCTGGCAGGCATGGCAGGCTCTGTCTGGATGACCAGAGGATGAAGTTTGTTCCCTCGGTTTCCTTTAAACTGCTTATTGCCAATACAAAATAAACAGGAGGAACTGCTGCCTGGGTGTAACTCTTGCTTCCTGGGGAGCTGGAGCTGTGCTAAGCCAGCAAGTACACACTAGATGGGCTGCTGCAGAGAGAATCTCCTCTTCCAGCATGGAGCTCCTGTCCTGCGGCTTGGCTCTTCTGTGCCAGCAGTGGGGAGTGCACCACTGAGCCCAGCCCAGCTCTTTGCACAGGCAAAGTTGGGGACTCGCTGACCCAGACTGTGACAGGCTCAGCAGGCAGGGAAGCCCAGAGAACCTGCCTGCGGCTGCGGGCAGGCTGCAGGACTGGGGTAACACAAGCCTTTGGGGATGGGGGGTGATAGAGTAGCATGTTGGCGAGCTGTCTGGGCCAGGCTGTGCTCATGCCCATGGGACAGTCGGGGCCAGATACACGCGTGGGTGCTGCTGTGCAGTGGCCCCAGTCCTGTGGCTGAGATGCTTCCATGTCCTTGGGAGCACTTGCCCATCAATGGGGCCCTCTGGGCGGCAATGCTGCCCCTGCTGCAGTCAGGCGAGGAGCACACTTGGGAGAAAACATCCTGCACCGCCACAGCACTGCCAGAACACATTTATTTTGTGCCCTGGCCATCCCTTGGGATCTGTCTCTTTGCTGCAGCATCCTTGCACGTGTGTGGTGCACAGGGGCCAGGTGCAGCGTGGCCTTTGGGGTGAGGGGTGTCTGGCTCTGCTTTTGGATGCTGTCTGTGGGACCCGAGTTACAGCAGCAGAGCTTCTGTAGAGAACTAGAAAGTGCCCTGAGGATGTGTTTGCTGGGTGACTAGCGAGGTACGGCAGCTGTC